AAAATTTAAAAAAAAAAAAAGAGGATCCTAGGGGCAAGGGAGCTCTCAGCTCCCTGGGGCTTAGACAGTGTGCTTTCTAAGTCTACTCCTGACTGGAAGTAAGAGTAGCCTCATCTGATCAAGAAGTCGTTTATCGAGTAGCCAATTGTGCATGGCACCATCCTGGGCACAGAGGAAAGTAAAGGCCAAAGTCGGCACCCCTGTGGGGGAAACGGCAGTTTGGTGGGGCCCCAAGTTCTCTAGCCTGCTCCAGAGGTAACTCCTACAGCTCACCCTGAGAGGAGGGCTGGCCTCTGACCCACCTTGGTTAGTTGACCAAACCCCTGGGGCCAATCTTCTTCCTGATAGGGATCCTTGGGATATGTCTTCACTGGTGAACGATCTCCATGTCGGTACAGCTGAGGAAGGAAAACCATTTGTCCACAGATCAGAAAGCGCTCCTTGATGGGGAGCACAGAGCCCCCTCCGCCCTACATTGAGGCAGGAAGCTCACTCCTTCCTGCAAAAGACCTGCACACAGGATTCAGTAACTTCTTCCAGATCCCAGAGAATTCTATCTTGGCTAAGCAATGCCACTGGGGACCTTGGGCAAAGCCTAAGGTAAATGTGGGAAGAGAAAAAGAGATGTGAAAACAATGCACTTGGTGGGAAAAGTGGAAAAAAGGTCACCAAAGCCTTTGTCAGAGAAGGGTCGCCTATCCATCCAACCACATTCCCGTCCCAGGGCAGACTCACCCCGACCAGGGGTGTCAATCAATTCTGAACCCAGCCCCCTAACTCCCAAGGCCAGCTGTCCCCTCCTCAACCAGTTGCTCCTTCTCCTGGAGAACCCCCGACCCCCAGCACCAGCCCCTCCTTCCATCCGCAGGCCTCTGATCCTCCAGCTCCAATGAACCGCTTGGTGACCTCATCTCTTGTTACCAAAGTGACGAAGCGCAGACTCCGGGCCTGGGCGGGTGGCATCACTATCAGGTTCACGCCAAGAAGGAGCTGGAGAAGAGCCGCCCGGCTCCAACCAGCCTGTCTGCCCGCCATCACCGCTGTAAGTCAATTGGGGCAAAGAAACCGGAACCCACTGGGTGGCACCTGCAGCTGCCGCCCGGACGCACCCATGAGAGCACATACCGGAAGTGCGCTCGCGGCCATCTTGCTAAAGGAGGGAGAAGAATGGTGGGAGAAGAAGGAATCTGCGAGGGAATGCTTGTGAAAGTTCGCCATCCGACTGTGGGAGAGGAGCGTGGGAATGTAGCCCGACCTCGCACGTCTTGGTAAAAGGGTCATGAGTTCGGGTTTGCTTCTCCGAAGGGAAACCCCATACTAGGGTGGCCTTTTTTTGGACGGTGGCCGGGACAGCGAGCGAGCCCGCGGACTGGGATACTGCTGGGCCTGTAGATCACAGTCGGACCCAACAAAATAACAGTCGATCGCGACTCAGAATGACCCGGTAGGACAGAGTAGAACTGCCTCATAGGGTTTTCAAGGCTTCCACATCTTTCTCCCAGAGCGACTGGTGGATTGAAACTACCCGCCTTTCGGTTAGTAGGTGAGCGCTTAATCACTGCACCGCCAAGACTCCTCCCCAGAGCCAGAGGGGAGTCCAAAAGGGAGGTGAGAGATGGGGAAATAATAGGGTGCCCTTTCTCCATGCCCTTGTCTTCGGGTGGAGTGTGAGCCTTGGCCCTGGCACTGTTTTGCAGGAGCGGTCATGTTTAGGGTGCAGGGTACACCGTGTAAACAGTCCTTTGGACTCCCTCTGTCCTTGAGGTTGGTCCGGGTCTAGCCTACTGCTCATGCCCAGAGCAAAACTGCAATAGCTGTCATTTCCCTTCCCAGTCCTTCCTCTGCCTTCCCACCTGTCCATTTCCAAGTTTTAGTTAATTAGAATCAAGATCTTCCCAGAAGAGTTGGGTTGCACAGGTGTTCAGACCTTATAAACTCAAAGCAGTGAATCCCTAGGAAAGGAATTTCAGAGCACTAGAGAAGATATTTAGGGGTAAGGGACAGACACATAGCATAAATTGGGAGCATGTGGGGTGTCGGCACAATCAGGCTCTCTTGACATTGGCCCTTTGGTGCAGCCAGTTTGGCCTTACGGCTTTGTAACTGAACTTTTGAAGTGACACACAGGGGAGAGTCGGACCATAGCCCCTTGGGATGCTTTGATTCAGAAGCAAATCCCCTTCAATTATCATAGCAAACAAAACCTGATGAGATCTGGGAAAGGCCACAAAGTTATCTTGTCCTAGGACTCTGGATTCAAATTGAATAGTTACAATTATTTAGATGTACCTCAGGATTCAAATTTTGCTTCAGGAGTTCTCTGGCACAGAGGAAGCTGAGGAGGAATAGAATATGAGAGCAAGTCACAAGCTTCTTTGTGAATCAGATGAAATTTTAATCCCGGCTCCTCCAGAACAACAGCCCCCTACACAAATGGAATTTTGCATATGATTCCAAGAGGTTCACAAAGAGTGACCTAATTAGCATCTTTCCATCACTGCTTTAACCCAACCGAGTCCCCTTACTTTAGAGAAGGAAACAAGTCCAGAGAAAGCAAGTGACTTGCCTAAAATCACACAGTTTAGGAAGGTGGATGAAAACTCAAGCTCTCATCCCCAGTCAAATAGTCTTTATAATGGGCTGTTTCCTGCAGGCTATTGGAACTGCATCGTAAAACTCATTTTGGTGGTCCCAAAGTACCTTCAATAAAAAGGTTGCTAACAAAGGAAACCTTTTCACATTGGTGAGATGAGTGAATGGAGGCATAGCTAGTTGGCAAAATACTGCATATTAATGGGAGGTCTGTGCGTGTGAATGTGTATGGGTTTTCTTTTTCTTTGTTTGATGTGCCTCTTACTGTCCTTGTAAACCAGCTGACCATTGTGTCTTCAGAATGTAAATCTTGGGCTCACTAAATTTTAGGAAATAAAAGACTCTCAAATTAATCTTTGTTTTTTTTTTCTAGTTAATTATATTTATACCTTTGTGCCTGAAAACATCCCACGTGGAAGGGATTGACGGAGCAGATACTGTTTTTTTATAGTGAGAAACAATTCCAGAGGGGAGAACATGAGGATTGTGGGTTATACCACCAGTAGATGGTAGTCCCACATGCTTCTCCTGGTGTCTTGACCCCCAGCTTCTGCATATTTTCTACCAGATGATCCTGTGCTCCTAATTACAGATGGAAAAAAAAAAGATGCAGGTAGATGGGTAGAGAGATGGATACATGGGCCTTCTCCAGACCACATAAATCAGAATTCCTGAAGGTGAGGTCATGTTTGGGAACCACTGCTCTACCTTGTGTTGACAGAGTAATCCTAAGTCCAGGTGAGGTACCATTTTTCCCATCTAGGGAGGCAATTGTTTGCTTTTTTTTTTTTTTTAATAATGACCTTTGAGTCAGCTCTGCCTGTATTCGAAATCAATATTTGCCCCTTGCTGGTAACTTATCTCATGGGAGCACTGGTTGCGTAGTGCCTAAGGCATTTGACTACTAACCAGAAGGCTGGCGGTTCAAACCCCCCAGCCACTCTTCGGAAGGAAGACTGGGCAATCTACTTCCGTAGAGATACTGCCTCAGAAACCCAAAGAGGTGTCGCTATGAGTCAGATCCGACTCCGTGACAGTGAGTTTGGTTTGGTTTTAGGTTTAGTGACTATCTCATAGGGTTATTGTGAGAATAAATAATACATATCAAAATAAATGTGTGCTCTTGTTGTTAGGTGCCATTGAGTTGGTTCCTGTTACAACAGAAAAAACACTGTTTGGTCCTGCACCATCACATTCCTTGCTATGCTTGAGCCCTTGTTGCAGCCACCATGTCAATCCATCTTCCTGAGGGTTGCAGTATAGTGAGTTGCATGGTATGGCTTTTCTAGCCATTGTCTTTGTAACTCCCACTGGATTACTGCATGGGACCATGCAGATATGTGTCAACTTGGCTGGGCAGCTTGGTAGTAGTTATTCCCTACAACAAGACTGGCAATTAGCTCTGTGGTAGAATTTGCTGTGAACAACTGAGTAGCTGCTTTTAAACTCCTGATTGTTAAAGTCAACCACCTGGGGTATTTCTGTTGGCACAGCACAAAGTAGTCTTATGGGAAATTTCACTTTCTCTCAGGTGTGTAGAACTCTGATGTTGGGATTGGTTTGTTTTGCCACTCTGCCAGGCTTAAAATGAGCCCTCCTAGAGGTAGAGGGGAATCTCACTGCCAGCTCAGAGAGACACCTGGCTGAAAGCTGGCAGCAGTGGAACCAAGAGGCATGGGACAGAGCTGCAGGCTTGCTTGGCCCACAGAGACCAAGGACCAGAGAGGCATGTGTAAAGGCACAGCAGATGGGAGACTGTCCCGATTGAGGAATGTATCCTGAGTGTGTTCCTGAACTTGAATTGTAGCCTGTTACTTCCCTAATAAACCCCATAATCTGAGTTTTGTTTGGCCACTGCAGCAAATTAGCGAACTCAGCAGAGAGGTGATGGGTGCTGCAGGAGGGACGGTTGGTGTCAAGGTAAAAGGACTGGTGGGTGGTGGCATGTGTGGCCTCAGGAACAGGCCTTGGGCTGCTGATGGTGATTCTGTCCTCCTCTTGTGTAGTTAGAGGTCAAAAGATGCTGCCTCCCTGCCCCTTTAGTAGTCTTCTTTTTCACTGACCTTTTACTTGACTGAGCATGATACCCTCTCCAGTGACTGGTTCCTCCTGATAACACATCCAAAGTATGTAAGATGAAGTCTCACCATCTTCCCTTCTAAGGTGCATTCTGGCTGTACTTCTTCCAAGACAGATTTATTTGATCTTCTGGCAGTTCATGATATACAGTATTCTCCGCTGATACCATGATTCAAAGCCATCAATTCTTTAGTCTTCGTTATCCATTGTCTAGCTTTTGCATGCATACGAGGCAACTGAAAATAGCATTCCTTGGATCAGGTGCACCTTAGTCCTTAAGGTAACATCTTTCGTTTTTAGCACTTTAAGAGGTCTTTTGCAGCAGATTTGTCTAGTCTAGTATGTCATCTGATTTCTTGACAGCTGTTTTCATGGGCACTGATCGTGGATCCAAGTAAAATGAAATCTTTGACAACTTTAATCTTTACTCTGTTTATCATGATGTTGCTTACTGGTCCATTTGTAAGGATTTTTGTTTTCTTTATGTTGAAGGATGTGGTCCTTTTTTTGGCGGGGGGTGGGGGGTGGAGATTAGTTTGTCCTTTACTGTTGGACGCGTTTCCTTTTTTAATTTTTATTATGATATGGGTGAAAGTGTGCAGAGCAAATTCATTTTCCATACAGCAGTTCATACACATTTTGTCTCATGACATTGATTGCAGTTCCCCACAATGCAGCAGCCCTCTTCTCTCTTCCTCTCTGTAGTTACCTCTTCCCTGTACCCTTCCTTCCCATGCACTCCCACCTCCCTAAGCTGTCTCCTTGTGCATACACTGCCCTTCTGTTCTCCCAGAATTGATCACTCCAAGTAGTCTATCTACCTGATACAAATGTTCAGCCCATATGCCTATTATTTGGCTGGAAGCCATAAGTGGAAGTTCAGTTCCAGACCTGAAGTGTAGCTAGGGGTTCTTTTCTTTTTTTAAATTGTGATGTGGGTGAAAGTTTACAGAGCAAATTTGTTTTCCATTCAACAGTTCATATATATTTTGTTTTATGACATTAATTGTAATCCCCATAATGTAATAGCTCTCTTCCTACTTCCTCTCTGTGGTTCCCTTTTCCCTGTGCTTTTTCCTGTGTATTCCTGCCCTCTGAGCTGTCTCTCTGCACAGAGGCTACCTTTCTGATCTCCCATAGTTGATTGTTCCAGGGAGTGTACCTACCTGGTGTAATTGTTCACCTTGTCCTGTCTATTGTTTGGCTGGAAATGAAGCCATGGGAGTGAGTGCAATCCCAGGCCTGAAGGGTAACTAGGGGCCATAGTCTTGGGGGTTTCACCAGACCAGTAAACCTGGTCTTTTTTATGATTTTGAGTTTAGCTCTACACTTTTCTCCCACTCTATCCAGGATCTCCAAAGTCTGATCC